ATTTTATCTCGCTTGAGATAGTTTTCCTGGAAACATAATATTTTGTCTCGCTTGAGATAGTTTCCCTTGAAATAGAAGATTTTATCTCGCTTGAGATAGTTTCTCTCGAAACAGAATATTTTTATCTCGCTTGAGATAGTTTCCCTCGAAACAGAAGATTTTATCTCGCTTGAGATAGTTTCCCTCGAAACAGAATATTTTGTCTCGCTTGCGATAGTTTCGCTCGAAACAAAAGATTTAAAGAAACTAAGCTTGATTTTCAAGGGTTTCTCGATGAGTAAGTCCTTCGGGCCATCAGTAAGTCTTTCGAGCATGATGCTTAAATCCTTCGGGTTATCTATAAGTCTTTCGGGCAAGATAATAAGACCTTCGGGCAATCCATAAGACCTTCGGGCAGGATATTTTTAACATTTTCGGTACTCAATTCATCACATATGGAGTTGAATCAGCAACACCTCACTTGAGGAACCAACATTGCGAGTAGAGAATTTGTAATGAAAAGCTTGTTCAACCTTTTGCTCGATTTACAACACTTCGAATCAACAACACATCACTCGAGGGATCAACATTTCCAATGGAAATATCAAGATGAGAAGAACCCATAACCAGAAAAACTGAAGATGAAGACTCAACTAAGAGAACAAAGCAAAGATGATATCATTTGCAGCAAGGACTCGATAAATTTCGCAGAAAAAGAAGAATCGACATTCCCACCAAAGAGTTTACAGCGTGATAATAAGGGACCAAACAGATAAAAATTGGTGTTTTACGTCTTTGCTCTATTCCCGTTTCATAGAAACAAACAAAAGGGGGCAACTGTAATCACCAATTTTCAAAAGTCAAAAAGAAAGCCTACCACTACCATGCCCCTATTAAACCCCACCATCCCACATTTCAACACCAATGCCCATCATCCCATATTCAACACCAAATACCCCCACCATCCTTTGTTTCCCGCAATAACAAAAGCATAACCACCCTACTTTGTAAAATTTTATGTTAAAATTATATAAAAGTTTGGCTATAAAACCAAACAAAAGTTATGAACAAGAGGGGGGATTCGAACAACAAAAAGAGTGAAACAATTGTAAGGCCTTTTGGCTCTCGGTTTTTTCTAGTAGAAATACAAAAGCATTTTAAAGGTTGTTTGTTTTTTTTCATTTTTTTCTCTTTGTTTCATTTCGAAATAACAAATAGAAATCATAAATAATGATCATTTTATAGAAAAAAAATAAGGAATAAGATCCAGTGATACACGAGGAAGGGAGTCTCACCAGGGTAGGGGTCGCCGATGTAGGTCGATGGTGAGGGAGTTGAATAGATTAGGAGTTCTAGGGGTTCAAAAGAGTTTTGCATGTTGACTTTAGGTGTAGATCTAGGTTTTTAGGAGGTAGGTTTTGCGGTTTTTGGGGTGAGAGTGGTTGCTCCGCCGTCGAGGGTCACCGGAATACGAGGCATACGAAAGGTTAAGCTATTTTCGAAGTGATCTAAGGTTTTTTTTTTTTGGGTTTTCGATGTAAGGTTGGGTTTGAGAGAATAGATCTGTGGAAAAAGGATATTTTTTGGATGATTTAAGGGCTCTGACCACCGCGTGTGGTGGCCGGAGCGCCGGCTGAAGCGACGTTGCTGAGGCTTCGGCGATGTTCTCGCCCGATGAGGGAGAGGGAAAATTGAGAGCTTTTAGGCTTTTTTAGGGTTGGGGATAAAATGAAACAAAAAAAGGTGAAAGTGTGTTTTATAGTGGGCTTTCGAGGGTTATTTTGCTTTATGTCCCCTCAGTTTATTTCGTGTTTTGCATTATGGTCCTGGAGGGCCATTTTGGTTGTTTACCCTTTTTTTACTTTGTTATTATTTATATTGGGTGATTCTCTGTTTAATCTCTGATATTTCTCGCGTGTTTTTCATTCTAGTCATTAGTTATTTGTTTCTATTTTATTTTGAATTAAACTTTAAGTTTTAATTTATTTTAGTCTGACCCTGACATTTTTAATTTATTTTAATTCAGTCCTTATTAGTCTTAATTTAGCTTCTGAGTTTTAATTTCTTGTATTTTGGTTCCTGTTTATTTTTATTTAGTTACTTTCTTTTTATTTCTTACAATTTAGTCCTTACATTTAAAGTTTATTATATTTAGATCCTTGAATAATTTAATTTCCTTTATTATTTGTAATTTTTATTTTATTCAATTTTATTATTTATTTAATTTATTTTGTAATTTTATTTCTTAATTAGGATTAAATGAAATTTTGCTTGATTGCATTATTTTTAAAACTTAAGGTACTATTCACTTATTACAGAGGTAATAGTATATCCTCCACGATTGTGCTCAGGAGGTGACTACTAGTAATTCCCTAAATAAGTCGACATCTTTTTCAAAATCACATCATGTTTTCTAAAAACGAGGCAATATTCGGTTATTAGGCACAATAGTTGATCTTCCGCATTTACGCTCGGAAGTGAATGCTATCGGCCATAATAAACGAATACCCTTTTCAAACTCTGCATCCTTAATGATTTTAAAGTTAAATAAAGATTGAACTCAAAATTTCCGATTTTAAATATAGGGTAATCAACTAGGTACCAATTTTTGGGCGCTTTGTGGGGGTGCTAATCCTTCTCCACGCGTAACCGACTTCCGAACCTGATTTCTGGATTTTCATAGACGCCAAAACTCGGTATTTTGATAAAACTAAAATGTTTTATTAAAATCATCCTATTTTTATGGTGTTTCAATCACACCTTAAATGATTGGTGGCGACTCATCACATTTCGAAACAATTTTCAAAAGAAAAACCCTGAGTCGATATCTTTTTTCCCTGCCCTGGCGAAAAAAAAGTGTCGACATAACCTAATTTGTTTAATTTGTAAACGCTAGGATTTGAATACTTGCCATCACTTAAGGAATATATGGTCTCATCCCACTGACAAACTAATTGTTGGTAATGTGTTTGGTGTTCATTTTTTTATAGAAGTTACTGATTTTATTAAAAAAATAAAAAATATCCAAATTACAATGAAGGTTTACAACCACAACCGTAAATTAAACATATAATCAACATATTTTCTTAAACACAAGAAACTAACCACTTAAGATCACATAAGGACCATATAAGGAAAAAGTTAAAAAACCTAACCAAATAAACTTGAACAAAAAATATATACGAACAGATCTTACTGTATCGACAAACAAACCACAAAAGGGATGAAACTATTGAAAGACTATCGACAAATTATAAATCAGATTTGAGTGACGTGAAAATACTATCTACGAAGGCAAATCCGTATCCAAATCTAATATGAGGGTCTAAAGTAGGAAAAATCAGTATGGTAACAAATAAACGTCATCTTGATCAGTCATGATAATACCAAATCTAACCCTAAACAAAGAATAAATAGAAACGACCAAATGACCAAAATCATGTTATTAAAGTAGAAAAAAACGTGACATAAAGATAAAAAAAAAACATACCATAAAGATATAATTATTAAAAAAAAAAATAAAAAAAATAAAAATATAATTTAATAAATAAAATAAATATCAACGATAGAGCGATTAACATCAAAATTGATATTACATCAATCATAAAAATAAGAAGAAAAGAGAATAAAGTATAAAGATTTTTTTAAGAAATGATTAGACAATATTATAATACAGAAAGTGTTTGTCGAGAATGACTGAACAAAATTAAAAGACAAAAATTTTCCGTTAAAAATAATTAGATAAAATTAAAGTACACATTTAAAGTACATAAATCATTTTCATAATAGTGTAATGAATTATTCGAGACGACTCAGGCCCAGCTCGATTGAGTTTTGATAAATGTTTTCGAATGTTTTTTTTATCATAACTAGGCTCGTCCATGGACATTTGTAGCCCAATGTTAGATTCGAAGGCTCAGACTTCAACAGCCCAAGGTATGTAACCCTAGACCCGAAAAGGTGAGACAAGACGAAGCAAAAGGAGGAATAAAACAACAATAACAGCAAAAATAATAGAAAAAGGAAAATAAAAAAGAGAAAATAACCTCAGTGACCAAAAATCCTAGATAATATACGATTTTGACCAACTTTTTTTGGATTTGCGAAAATGACCAACAAAATCACAATGTGATCTCTAATTCGCATTGCGATCTCCACTATCGCAAATTCGCGTTGCATTTCGCGTTGCGATAGTTGAAAATCGCGTTGCGCTTTTCCATTTCGCGTTGCGATTTTCCATTTCGCGTTGCGATTTTCCATTTCGCGTTGCGATAGTTGAAAATCGCGTTGGGATTTTCCATTTCGCGTTGCGATAGTCTACAGTTGTCGTTGCGATTTTCCAAATTCGTTACGAAAATTCGTTGTGATAGTTAAAAAAAAGATTTTGTTTCTTAAGAATTTTCTCTAAAAAGATAGTATCCGCGCGGACGTGTCGAAGACACGTATGACCACGACCACGACCACGACCACGAGACGAGACGGACTGTGGCGGCGGCGGCGCGCGAGAGTCCCCCTTGTTCTCTATCACTCAACAAGGAAGTGGGAAAGCCAAGACTTAAATACCATTCCCAATAGTGTTTCCAATACTATGTGGGATTGAGCATTACCAATACTTGTTTCCAATACAATGTGATTATTCAGGAAACAATTAATAATCATGCACCTTAAAACAACTGAATCAACAACCAATTGCATTAGTATTATACGATTAAATATGTCATAATTAAAAGTCAATCTACAATCAATCGCGATTATTGCAATTTTAAGCAAAACATTCAAAAATAATATCACTATTTAAGGCTCAATCCCACATAGTATTGGGAACAAGTGTTGGTAATGCTCAAATCCCACATAGTATTGGAAACACTATTGGGAATGGTATTTAAGGCTAGGCTTTCCCACTTTCTTGTTGAGTGATAGAGAACAAGGGAGACTCTCTCGCGCCGCCGCCGCCGCCGTCCGTCTCGTCTCGTGGTCGGGGTCGGGGTCGGGGTCGGGGTCGGGGTCGTGGTCGTGGTCGGGCTGGTGCTTTTGGCGGCCTCCTATTCTTCAGTTTGTATCCTTTTCTCCATATTTTGTCAATTCATTTTTTTCTTTTAAGATATTGGTTTTGAAGCATTCGATCGGTGAACTGTTGAAACGATTTGTACATAATTTGTAGAACTTAATATTTTCAAGTTAAAGATTGAACTATATGATGGGTTTTACGGTCTGTAGTTGTTAACCATTGCAGATTGGCCTGAGATTTTTTCTTCTGGTCGCCAGCATATTTCCATTTTTATTATATATATTTTTGTACCGATCAGATGTGATGCCTCTATATAATAGTGCCAGAATTGTGATGATGATGTAATGTCTGTTTAGAATGCCAAAACTATTATCATTGTTTTATTATCTGCACATCAATATCCATGCAGGAGCCAATGTTTAAGATCATTTGGCTTCCTTATGGAGCTATGTATAGGTAACTATACCATAACACATTACTATGTTACGGGGACTCGTGTGAGTGTTGAATACGGGAATCTGTTCTACACGGATATGTTCAATTGTTGCTAAGTTTTTCTAAATTTTTATGTTTTGGAGGTGCTTGGAGGATCATATTCCCATGCCCATGTCTAAATTTTAGTCAGGCATGAATGTCGCACAGTACTTCAAGAAACATAGACATGTGATTCTTTTAAGATATTCAAGCAGTGCTTACGTCCCTGTATGATTGATTTACCTACATATATTCCAGCACCAGAACTAGCTCCTTTCTCCATTGCTCTAGTTTGCGCATGATTCCCAAAAAAATTGATGCAGAGGATGGAATGCAAAGTGGTTTTAATTTTATGTCTCATAAACACATTCCTCTCTTGTAGGTTAACAACCGAGTTTAAACTTCTCCATCGTTCCTACTGAGTAAAGCTGAAACAGTTAAAGCTATTATGCATCTTGCCTTAGTGGATATTCATGTAGGCAGTAGACCGTATTCTTCAGCTTTGAATCGCATTGAATTTTTTATAGTAGCCTTCTATCCAAGCATTATTATTTCCGTGCCTTCCATTTCTGTGATTTTCTTCTTTCTTTTCTTCCTCCCTTGAATTCATAATTTTTATGCATTTTGATTTTTCATAGCAGGGAATCCAGTGACTCGATGGGTATCGGTAGCTTTAGGTGGTGGGATTGGAATTGGATCTGCATACACAGAATGTTCTCGTATTTTTGATGGATACGATGCTCCTGCTTCCCAGGTAGGAGTTTTGTTTTTCTCTGCTAATACTTTAATATTTTGAACCACTGCTTTTTCTAGGTTGTCAATTCATATTTTAGTTACTTTTACTGCTAATCCTTTGTTATACAAATGTTAAATTCTTGTTCGACCTGTTACAAGTCATCTAAAGGTGTTAAATGGGCAGATTTGCATCTACTTCAACACCAACAACCAACCAATCATATGGGTGATAGTTTGAGTGGACACGTTGGATAAAATTTAGGTGCTGGGATTGGAATTGGAAATGTTAAGTAAATTTTGTCATATGATAATTTCTTGTAACCAATAATATAATTAAAAATTGTTGAATTGAGTGATAGTTTGAGTGGACACGTTGGATAAAATTTAGGCACATCTCAATTAGTGAACCAAAACTACTATCATTGAACTTGGCTTGCATTTTATCGGAACTTATTTTCAATCATAGGAATTGTCAAAGGCTATCTCTTAGGTTGAAATACTGTGCACTTTTGCTGTTTGTGTCGAGTCCTTTTGGTTTGCATCTTGCATATAGGCATTAGCTTAGAAAAGGGTCAGGAAATTATCCTTATGCCAATTCCTGACCGATTATTATACCATGCCATTGATTAAGACATTGAGTAGTATAGGGTGCTCTCTTTCTTGTCTCTCTCTTTGCCTTCTTTTTATTGCATTCCAACAAATACGTTAGCCATTGTCTGGTGTATGTTTTATCATCTTATCTATCTTTAGCAACAGTGGTTGACTGAAACAACCATTCTATATTCTTAAACAATTGACAGGTCAGTCATGATACTCCAAAAAGATTGGAATTTCACAGAATATTTAAAAGCTGGCCAAATTAATGAGACGAACTCATAGAATCTTGAACTTTTTTGAAAGAATTTATTGGAAAAGCTTTCCACATTTTGAGATCTGCTGTACGCACAGGAGAGAAATTAGCGTTGCTGCCTGAGCTAGGGATGTGCATTTGGTCTGTTCAATTTCTATATATCAATAACCGAATAAACCAAACTGACTATTGCCAAAAATCAGATTTCTTCTTAACCAAACTGAAATAAACAAATAAACTGAATTGATAATGTTTTATTTTTACTTTTTCCTATTTCTATGATTTATTTATAAAATAACAAAATTCAATTATAAAATAGAACATTTATATGCAGTTATTTAAAATTTTGTATTGAGTTATTACATATTTGGGTATTTAATTTCATATTTTGATTAAATTAATTAAACATATACAAGCAATTTATTGTTTAAAAAATCGTGTTCGGTTTAATCTGTTTATTCAGTTTAGATTTTCAAAACCAACATCCAAACTGAATAAACAAACTAAATAAACTGTAGAATTTCGGTTAACTTGGTTTAACTAACTATTTGCTTACCTTTAGCCTGAGCAAGTAAAGTTCTCAGGTTACAATGGCTAGCTGGTTCTTTGCCATTCGGTCTCTTGGATGATTTTGTACAGCCTTGGCAGTTTAAACACTATTTATTTCTTGATAGATGTACTAAAATTTTACACTTCACTAGCATTCTATCAACTTCGACTATTTCTCAGAAATCAGTGTGCGACACTGTGACTGATGTTTGTCAAAACTATTTTGTATATCAGTCGTCTTGATATGTGTTTCAAAAATCTCTGCAAGAAACTTCATTTTGTTCTGTTTATGTTTCCAGGATGGGAAGCAGTGAGTTGAAGTTGTTGAAGTTCCCCTAAGTTTACAGGTTTGAATTCAGATTTTTTCATAAGCTGATATTGTTTGTCGTTTCCCCAGCAATGTCTTTTGAATTTTAGTACAAACATTGTTGTTGGTGGGTCAACAATTGACATGATGCACCGGAAATTTGGCATGACTCCAGTTGTCTTTTGCTCTGTAATTCTATCATGAGTAATAACACAAATTTGGAGAATGTAATAATTCCTTCAGTTGGAGGCTTGAATTTTGTGTGATTGTTACGATTTGAATTTGTTATATCTGTTGAGTGCCAATATGGAGTTACATTTAAGCTGCCTCATAGCGTGGGAAAGTCATGGCCTTGTGTAGGTTATATTTTGAATCTCTATCATATATATATTTCTTCACCCATCCCTCTATTTTCTGCTTTCTCATTTGCTGGGACTACTACATGAAGAGTGAAACGAAGTTTTGATCTTGGTACAATACAAAAGGTTGTTGAAAATCTTGATTAGCTTATGTTTGTGAATCGCAAGGGGAAGAGGGAGAGGAGAAGCCTGCCTTCCAAATTTCTTTAATTTGAATAGGTTCATCGAAATGCAAGTTTTAGATGGTTGCAGATTAATGCAATTAATCCTCCAAAAACCACACCGTTCTGTTCTGTTTAGTTGTTGCTCAAACAGAAAATTTCCTCCCATTTCATTCTCATTGAACCTAAAGATAATCGTATACCCATGTCCTGAGTTCGTGCAAAATAGTGCAAGCTGACAATGAACACCGAAAACAAATGAGGTCAGTTTTCTTTGCATTTGTAAGAAGCTAAGAGCAAGTCTTTACATTTTTAGGTCTAATTAACCAAGTGAAATGAAAAGAACAAAAAGATGGTTTCAAAGCAACTGTCTATAGCAGTTGACATTGTGCTTACCGTGTTATCCCTTCTTCGCTGAATGCTCATTTGGCCTATTTAGGTTGGGATCAAACCAAACCAATTTTTACCAAACCTAAACTAGGTTGCTTTGGAGCTTCTATCTGAGTTGGGATGCTTAGGCTCTGAAAGGAAAGCGTCCCAATCTATCCTGTCTTTGATGAACACCATACATCATATATAGAAAACCAAAAACTCCAAACTGTATTGATGTTTGTGCTAGTATTATTTCATCTTCTGTTTTTCTTACTAATGATCTTTGTATAAGTTGGCTTTGGGGATTATGTTTGCCCAGTATTATGCTGTTTCTGGTTTTTTTTTCCAGTGTGAAACTCTGCAGGTCTTCCTCTACTTTATTTCAATATTGGAATAAATCTGTATTTATCCCCAAAAGAATAAAAACTCGGGATGAACCATTTTAGAGAGTTGCAGGTGGAAAATGGGGATATAGTTTTTAATTTCTTTTCAGAAAATCAAATAGCTTCTGTGAATCTGTTTATTGCTGACTATTTGACAATGAAAGCTCAAACACTCTTGCAGTTTCTAGTGCTTTTACTTGAGACTTCTAGAGATAATATCCATTCATTTAGCCATTGAGGTAGTTTTGTTCGTGCAAATGCTCCACCACGAATTGATTTCTAGGAAAGCTTGTTGACGTTAAAATTTCGCAATACCATGTTTTGAGGACAAATAAATTGGTTGAAGTAATGTCATTGTCAAAATAAACTGATGTAAATGGAATCCAAAGTTTTCCTTCCGATTAATGCAAAAACTGGGCATTTTCTGAGGAAAAATATGACACATCAAGGCTAAAGGAATGACTGATAATGCTCACTGTCTAGGAGGCCCAATCGATCATAATTCACAAGTGTGATTTTAGTGTTACAATCCCAATTTCTCTACAATCCTGACTTTTCTTTTAAACACGTAATTAGAAATAAAGTTTTTTTTAAAAACAAATCATGTATGAAATCTTCAACTAATTTGTATGTAAACACGACGAGTAGATCCTCTAAATGTATTGTTTAAAGTTCAATTAATAATTTTAGTATTAATATCTTATACTTTGTTAATTGTTAATTTTTTGAAGTTATAATAAAGTTTATCATAACAATTTAGAGACAGTTTAATTAGTTTCCGAGTCCATGTATAGATCAATTATTTTAAATATACTCTTTTGGAACCAACAGATATTGGTTCAACTGATAAGCAGTTTGATATCGTTTAAATAAGATATTTAATTTGAATTTTTGTGTATGTAGAAAATTTATGTTTGGAGACTCACTCACCAAGGTTGGTGCAATGCGGGTCGGTCTGGATTAATCAGGACGAAACCTTAAAATTAGAAGTGAAAAAAAATTAGATTTGTCTATCATTGATTTAGCTCAATTTAAATTTTAAAATATTTACACAAGTTCAGATTTGGGTAATTAAAAAAATTGCAGCTGTCCTATTTTCCTAGTTGAATCAGTTCTGTTTTGTATTATTAGTATGGGCAGTTACAACCGTCATAATTATTTTTTTCCTCAGTTAATATATGTAGACAGTAATCCCTATACTATAATTAAAAATGCAATTGAGCCCCTATATTTTATAATATAATTTAGGCTTAATAAAATTATAATGCTTTTCTTAAAATGGTGTCTAAATTTTTTTCGGTCAATTCAAGTGCTAACGTTACAAACTTTATCATTTTAGGTGTCTAGTCCGTAATGACAATTAAAAGAGTATGTTAAGTGCACATGTCATATTATGATAAATATGAATTTTTTATTTTAAAAAAATTAAAATATTATTTTATTAAAAAAAAGAAAAACATAAATTTTCTATTTTACATAAAATACCCAATAATTCATAAAATCTCTTATTTAATCCCCTTTACTATGGTCGCCGGCCAACTTCGATCACCCATTTATTGTCGAACAACCATCCATTCGTTGTCCGCCACCCAATGGTTGGCCATCTCCCTTGCTATCCCTAAATTTTAATAGCCCTTAATATGGTGTGAGCTTTCTCTCATGTTAAATCTTGTGTGAGCTTTCTTTCTTGAGCTTTCTCTCTCAAGCACAATAATTATGGAAAAAGGATCGGATAATGTTCCCAGGGAACTTTTTTAAGAAAAAAATATTTTTCCCCTAAAAGTAATATATTTTTATTTTTTAAAAAAGTAAAATTTTCAAAATTATAAGAACGTGTCACTAACGAGATTTTTTAACGGCCGTTCAGTCAGGACATCTAAAGTGATAACATTTGTAATGCTAGACATCTGGATTGACCGAAAAAAGTTTAAGACCAATTTAAAAAATGATATAATTTTAACATTTAATTTTATATTAATTCTATAATGTAATCCTTGTGCTATGCATTAAATTTGGTGAGCCAATATGGACTTCTGAAATGTGAGGAGTAGTAAAAATTGATATCTAACAAAGTTTATATGTATTTAAAAAAGTCAATGTCAATGATGAGAACATGCATAGATGTTTTAACTATTCAAAAGAACTATTCCTTTGTTTTGACCTAATCTTGCCGTTACCGTTGTCCATTTCAATAGAAGCTTACATTCATAACTATGTCAAGCACTAACAACGCAAAGAAATAAGTTACTTTACGATACAACTTGTGAGCTACGTTGTCGATTGTGTAGTGGTTCTAGACAAAGTTGGTGGACGCAAACATGAAGTTAAAGCCTCTTCTAAGCTCTTCACAACCTCGAACATTGATGGTCTTTGTCCGCCTTCTGGTCCTACACAGGAAGCTGCTAAATATCCTGCACTTGCCACTCCTTCAATTTCGGACATGGTTGGTGGCGGGACTCGACGGTCCAAAATCTCGTCACTGACTATATATGGAACCACAAAATCATGTGGCTTGCCTTTTATCCGGATAATAATTCGAGTGGTACTACTCCGAAGCTGTATACACATCGCTCTTGGTGGTTAGTCGTTGGAGCCTGTAGTATTCCGGATCCATGTACCCAACCTGCCAGCTGCTCGCAAGGAGAGGTGTGACTCGTTATCCTCCGAACCCAACAATGATAATCCGAAATCGGATACCTTTGCGGCCCAAGATGCATTGAGGAGAATGTTTGAAGACTTGATATCGCGTTGTATGACTGGTGGAACGGTACTCGATCCCTCTCGCGGCGTCTAGTGCGATGTTAAGACGTGTAGCCCATGACATGAAGGGTGAAGATTGGAGCTTGTGGAGATGGTCGTGTAGTGTGCCATTGTTCATGTACTCGTATACGGTATACCAGTACACGCTCATCAGCATCTTTACAAAATCCGAATAGTCGGACAAGGTTTTTGTGGTGGAGGCGAGATAAATATTCGAGCACGTTAATGAAGGATTTGTCTTTATCTTCTTGATGCTTGTTGCTGATCACATAGGACGAATTGTTTGTTACTTCAGCTCGTTTGATGGCGACTTCACGGCCGTCATCAAACGTGGCTCGGTAGACAGAACCGAAGCTGCCAGCACCAATTTTATGATCTTCAGAGAAATTGTTGGTGGCTCGAATCAAATTATCTAAAGAAAATTCCTCCAAAATTTGTATACCCTACGCTTGTCAATTGGCTCAGGCGCTTCTCAAGAACTGCTGTTGATAGTGAAGCTTGGGGAGCTTGGGGCTTATCGGAAACACCATAAGCCGATGCACTGCTCTCATCGAGACGACCTGAGTCATGGATATACGACATCGTCTACCTTTGCAATATCTGTAGATAAAGAAACCGACGACAAGCAACAATGAGAAGGATCCTACACAACCACCAACTAGGAAAACTACCATTCTGCCATTCAAATTATTGTGGATCTATCTTGAGGTTGTGGTGGTGATGGAGCTGATGGCAGGGACGGCGATATCGGCACACAACCTCTGCATATAGATCCACCATTGCTGCAAAACGAGCTTGGTCCCGACACTGTACCACATGGACATGTATTCCGACATGGCCCTGGTAGAACTTCGGAGAATACCACGGAACTCGAGTTCAACCTTGAATCACCCCAATAATCACCCCAATAAAGCAGCGAATAATCCAACGTTGGAACTCCACAAAAGACATTTCTCTTTGCTTTGATTGTAATCAAAGTACGCCTTTCCAATTCCTGTGGCAGAGTGAAGTTACTTTGACCCCAGCAGACCACAGTTCCATTAGTCCTCAACACACAGCTTCGATTCAGTCCCTGAGCCAGTGCGTTGAATTTCCCCGTCGGCGTATCGTCGACCACCGTATCCCCCCCCCCCCAACACTCTAAATCGTTATCTCTGCTGATGGCACAAGCATGGCTAAACCCAGCAGCAATCACACTATAATTCCCTCTAGGCTCTTGACCCGTGACCGAG